ACGGACCTAGATACAGGTAAAGATGCTTGCCCACCACACATCTGTGTCAGCGTTTTCACCGGCTCCTCGATAGTGAAGTCTCTCGAATTCTTGTGCAACACAAACTTTGTATGGCGCTTATTCTCGGCTGTCTCAAGTTTTCGGAGCAGCAGTCGAGTCTTCCAAGTGCCATCCTGTTGAGCCAAGTGCAAACGGAAAAATCCTCGTACTTTTAGGACTGCGATTCGAATGTGACGCCAAACAATACTTTTTATTGAAAAGTAAAGCAAAGAAGGATAGTGCGATTCAATGTATATCACGTGTTTTCGCACGAAATAAACCAAATTAGATCTGTACTGCGCCTCAGAGTAAGTTCCATCCAAGAACAAGCGCATTTGGCTAAAACAGTACTGGTCTACGTCCTATCGGATCAGGTTCATTTGATCCATTCCTCCCAGTCTGCCTATCTTATTGGAACACCGAAGGAGTGGCCCCGTAGTCCACCATCGAGTACTTTACACCAAACCCTTTGGCACCTTACTGGACATCCAAGCAATCGGAACCAACAGTGTTAGTTGGGTCAAGTACTTCGGATGCCCGTTATCCTTCTACCTCGATGCGCATTGGTTATTTGTACAGCGAAGCCACCGCATGGTCACCCAAATATCTGGTATGAAGGCGTGCGTAAAATTGACCGTCAGCTTGGATAGGTTAGTGTTTGCAATCCTCCTAATTAACGCACACCTCATATGCTACGCCCGTGATCAGGTTGCTTATCCGGTTTGACTCAGCCGCGAGGTCAGTGGCGGTCCTGTGTTCTATTGACTTCCTCGTTTCAACGGCTACATTCAATTGTTCATCTGCTCTTTTCCTTTCTGAATGCTGTCCTTTTCCTTTTTGTCCTGGCTACTATTCCAGTGGCCCTGGGTTCGAGGCCTGCAATCTCTACCTGATGAGATCAGATGAGGTCGAAACGCGTCGTGGTGTGCAGTGTTCTCGAGCGGACAGCACCCAAATTCCAAAAGCATTGCCTTTGTAAAAGCATCCTTTATCTGCAAGCGGGTGCTCGAAGGCGCATCCTTCACAAGTCGGAACGGGAGCTGCAAGTGACGCTGCAGCAGAACGACACAGGCTGCTCAATTTGAAATATGACACAAATATGGTTGAAAATTCGGTTTCCAGAAGAGGGTCCCACGTCTATCGCACAGCTATTCGCGGCCAGAATATGAATCGAGATCTACCGAACCGGTGGCCCTCGACTACGTTTTGGAGCAGTGGCCAGTGGCATTCTACGAGAGATTGCGAGTACAAAACCATAAAGAACAATGACAGCAACACAACCATTTGAACTGATGCTCTGCTGTCGCATAACCATAATGACTTACGGAAGGAAGAATAACAAGAGAGAAGGGGACCTATATGCCCTCAACAAACGTTGAGTCAAGGCGCCTACAACTTATCAACAATACAGTCGCAAACAATTGGCGATCGTGCAAATGCAGGGCGGCATCGGCGAATCAGTCTTCTAGTAGCTTTCACTGACTAGAGTCGTAATCAGAACCATTCTGCAACTTCTCGAGCCAAACACAAAGCGGGTCACGCGGACTCGTCTGGAAAGCAAAACCGATCAACAGCGCTCAGTTTAGTAGGCAATGATTTCATTTTTCGCCTCCAAGACAACGTTTATTCACCGCGGGTCTTGCGTCGCCCTACATCCGGCAAACAAAAGAAAACAAGGCTGTCCTCAATAAGCGGTGACCTGGCATGAGTAGCAAGTGCTCAAGCCAACACAAGTTATTCGAAGGGACTAACCTGATTATCACCGCCTAGTAATCGCCTATGCACAACATCGTTGCGGATACGCTGTTACAATTCGATACCAATAACGCTCCGTAGACAACCAGGATCAAAACTTTAAGGCACCACAGATCCTCAAGGGCCAAGTCCAACTCCCGTAGAGTAAGATGACCCTTACCGTGGCACTGTAAACACAGCCCTTCAGACTGAGGAAAACCCTCTTCGGATGATATAACGTCACAGATTCAAGAAGGCAATCCTAGTATTGTAACAGGCAAGATGAATTTAAAAGCTAGGTGATCATCGTCGTTGATGCAGCAGCCAAGGAGAGTGAATTGATGACCTACCTCGAGTTCCCAGATATCAAGGAATCATCAAGTGATTAGTGGTCCTCCAGCAACACTTTGCACTTTAAAGGTGCGAAGTACATTCCAAACGATGGCACCCAGCAAATGAGGTTATTCAGGGGGGCCGCATAAACATCCTTAAACAGTACGAAAATATCGTCCGCATTAACAAGATCGGCTGGCCTCTCACTGGACAACAATACAAATCCTGCAACGTAAAATTCCGTCAGGGAACATTTCACGGCAAAAGTTGAACAAAAAGGTGGAGGAATGGGATAACCCAGGTACACATCACTCGCTGTTAGAGAGACGTCCGACAAGCAACTATAGACCATGGGACGGCTTCAGGTGTTCGAGTACAGGGCATGTAAAGTGATCACAGATTTCATCGGAACACCATTCCGAACAAGTATGTCGAAAAAGATGGAGCGATCGACTGAATCGAACGTAATCTTGAAGGCCAACAACACAGTTATAGACGCCCTGCGGTAAATGTTACATTGCATCAGCACATACCACAGAATAAATATGTAGTTCATATAGACCCGTTATGAGCGAAAACCTGCCCGCACTTCCATACTCAGGGATAACTTTCCAGAAGGAAGCAACAAACGCAAATTGAAGCCAATAAGTTGGTCAAAATCAGCGTCAAGCTAATACTTCAGTGGCCAGCACAGTATATATTGTGTGTAGTCATTATAGTATGTCTGATAAATGTGGGTGTATTCCGTATCTCTGTCATGATCTGCACAATCCCCTGATACACTTTGCGTTACTATACAAAATCCGGGCATCTGTAAATCTTGTCCGGCGATCCAATCAGTGATTCACGTTGGAGAGCAAATGCGCGCACGCATGCTCCTGGCCCTTGATGCGCGCAAAATCACATGCAGACCATGGGTGTTGTCGCACCCATGCAACAGAATCATGCGACCCGGAATCCTTCGCCTGAAAAGTCGTTGAGAGATGAGGCACAGACAGCCACATTACGCAGTCGAATGATCGGTAGCTTCTCCACACTGGGCCGCAGTAAGCTCACTTTACGGTGAGTGCGGATGGTAATGTCCAAAGGTAGGTGACTTGGCAGTGGAACGAGTGATAACTATCGTTGTGTCTTGCTACGTGAAACGAAACAGCCATGCAAGCGGCAGCAGATCAGTACCTGGTCGACTGTAGTAAAGCTGGGATGTCGCAATGAATGTTCGATGAGCGCTTATTTTTGTCAAAGTTAATGACAACATCTAACTACGGCCAGCGCTGTTGTAGCCTGAAAATGTGTTTCCAACAATGCACTTTAGCAAAAAAGGCCCCACCTTCCCATTAGGCTTTGACGCGTCCGTGGCACAGAACGCTCTTAGGATTCGGTATGCCCCGACGTACTCTTGGCACTATTAGCCCGTAGACCAATTTAGTATATAATTCATTTTCTAATCGCAGGTTGTCGAAAGGTTGCCTTAATTGCGCACTGCTCCTGGTTACTCCATTTTTCGAACCATAATATCCCACCAGGCTCTGCTTAAGTTTGCGCCTAATAGCCCGTCTGGTTACATTGTGCTCAGACACAGGCGGGAGTTTTCTTCCGCATTCCAGTAGGTTCACCGACCTCTCGGATATCCAGTAACTGGCCTGATACCAATTGACAGTGCCGTAAGCAGAAACTTCATTTTGCGCATGACAGCCAAGGTTCTATTCCAGTGTCCTTAGGATGAGAAATCGAAAGTTCAGTATGCAGCGCATCCTGATCGGCATGCTTAACCGTGAGAGACGCTTGAGATGCCACCCGATAAAGTTCATGGAAAAACGACAGCGTACCAAAGCATGACGCGGTCAGGCACAGGTGTAACAAAACGAGTGAGAATCCAGGATGACAGTGCGCTACCTGTGACCTATGACGACATGATCTATTTGGGCCCATCACTGACCAGTTATAGGGCGACGTCAAGTCCACTGTGCCTAACAGCGGTACTGCTAAGAAACAGCTGGAACGCAATTGCATCAGACGCTCACCGTCCGTTTGAGGTTAAGCCTAAACCTAGCTCAGACAACGTATTTGCGTATTCATATTCCCCGCAACAACAATCATTTATGTGAAGCGGTAACAATGTGTAGCGGTGTGTTCGGTTCGTGGTAGGTGTCTTTAGTATCATCAGAACTGCAGTCGTTGGTGGCATAGGCGAAAATAGCAAAATGAGATAAGCTTTCTGATCATAGGAGAATTCACTGCGGAGCAACACCGAACTTTTGACGCATACTTGCTCCAAGGTTGTAAGCAAGGTCCAAAGTCAAAAGGAACAGATGACCGGTCACTTGGGGTCTGGTTTGCGCAATTATCACGTATTGCAGTGCCGCACAGTATACCACAAATGTTACGTTAATATCACACAGCTATCGCAGGTGATACAGACTTTGGAAACGCAGGTAGCAACCGCTTCGGTAAGCAGACCATTAGTGACGACTCCAGTGACTTTTTGGTGAAAATGGGAACCCTTGATGTCCACCTAGTCCTACAGTACAACCTTATCTTATAATATGCAAGGAACAATGAGGCATGCAAGGGCGTACAGATCGCAGATGAAGACAGCTGCATCGTGGGTGCACTGTACGGTTGTCGACCGTTCACCGGGCGGAGCTCTTAGTCCGGGTGAAGTAAATAACACGATCATTCGCGATCGTCACTTGACATAGCGGTTGGATCCATCCGCGTTAAGCAGGTCACAGTCGGCTACGCATAGAAAGTATTGGTCTTTTGTTGTTTCCGCCTAAACCTGCAGCCTCCGCGTGTAAAGCCTCTATCGTGTTGTCCACGTGAGTTCCGATTACGTGTGAATAAACCAGGTGATCTAACCTCTAACCAACGCACAATAACAAATACAAAAGCAAAAATTCCATAAGTTGAGCAACTCTTTCGAACCAAATCTGGTCTGACAATAAATGCACATCACTCTGGCACGTAGTCGGAGGCTGGTCTGGGAAGAGTGATAACAAGGTGGAGAGTAAGGTGCCGGTCATAGTCAAAATGCGCAGTCAACGAAGAAGAAAATACGAAATACAGAAACATGAAAATAGATGAACACGGATCATAAGTAAACGGCGTAGCCTCCCTGAGGATCAGTCAAGAGTTTCAAGCTTTCTGAATGGACGGTCATCTGCATGTTGTTCAGTTCGTGAATCAGACCCTTGCTGCATCGGTCAGTGTGGGATACTCGCGACGGACAGGTTAAGACCAAGTCACGTAAACGGGATAGATCCCCATCACACGATTTGTAGTGTGTAAGTAGGCGTCGTTCGCCAGTCGACAGATTAATCTCATCGAGGAATTCGTAAGCATTCTCCGACATGTCCTCGTTCAGTCGGCGGTACACCAAAAGTAGGTTTTGTTCTTCCGGCGGAACAAAAACAGCGAGCTGGTTAGATTCGAAGAAACTATCTTTTTCATCATCCACGAACTCCGCGGGGAGCTAAATAACGAAGAGTATGAGGACAGATATGGAATGACCGGAACAGACAGACGGATGGAGTGCAGATAGGAAAGAAGAGGAACATAGGCGATGTAAGGTAAACGAATGGGAAATGTGGAACTGGCAAGCTAACGCAGCAAAGAATACAGTGTTGGAAGAGAACTTCAAATGTCCGAAAGACCTCGGGAATATTGCTCGGTGTAGCTCTAAAGTGATGTGGAAAAGAAAGTGACGAGAGCGGGGGTGCGATTTTAAGATAAGCGAGCGCGAAGCCCTTCAGGTTATTTACAGGATATCTGTGCAGTAAGGTGCAATGCACTAGGGTCAACAGAGACGGTCGCTATCAGATTTCAAAGCCCGGACTGATTTATAGGTACATGCAAGATCTGTTTAGTCTCTCCGCTTACTATGGTCATAAGCCATCACAACTAATAACAAAGAGTATGCCGCCTCTCCTAATCTTGTCATGTAGCACTTCGAAGAGTCAAAACAGTCTGGACAGCAACCGAAATCGGTACTCAGTCAAGAAAGCAGCATTTGCATTGCAAAAACATTGAAGGCACTACTTAGATGCCACGACTATTCCCTGGTTGCGTTTCACTGTCATCTGTCTGTGTTCATTGGTCAGTGCGCGTTGCTCATCTCCACTGTTGGGTCCGACTCCCACTTCTGCTCTGTTTACGGTCACGTCTAGCTTGACTCATGATTAATCGCACCAAATCTCCCCTGTCCAGCTGATCCGCGTGATTACGGGCAAGTCACGTGGAAGGCGTCTGTTTCGGTTTTCCTTTGTTCGCTACCAGTTGCAATCGTTTGTTCCATAGACTGTCTGGTGTCGCATCCCATGCCTCTAGTGTGGGATCGCAGACGAACACGCTCGGTTCGCACCAATTCGCTTTGCCTTTGTCCGTGCCCAAGCTGGGTTGGAGCCCTACCAGGGTCCGATGGAATGCGCACTGCTGACGATTCCCGAAAGGATGAAACGCGCGTCCAGTGCTTTTCCGGGCGTGTGGCGGCTGTCTGAGTGAGTCTAGATGTGACGAATTCTACCTATACCATTCAACTCCCCCTACTACTCTTCTGTAAGCTGGGTTTTGTTCACACTAGGCTGAACCGATTTTGGTCCATCTCCCCGGTTCGCACAATCATGGTTAGCTCACGTCTGCGGAAACTGATTGGCCTGCTACTTATCATCTACACCGCGTCTGTCACCTTCACCGAAACGACCAGCTCTCATCAACTCTGGTTTACGTAGTGCGACCTAATCATCATTAATATAGCATTATACACCTGAGCTAGAGGTGGAAAACACCTCAGCTACTGTGCCGCAAATGCGAAGTAATATTCGCAACGAATCCTGGTATTCAAATATCATGTATTATTTTAAGCTCTATCCTTCTTTGTGAATTGACCCGATAGTATAAACCCGAAAACAACCTTATTTGCCAGGCTCACTATTGGTTCCAATGTCTTTGCGGGGGATATGATGCAAATTATAATGCGACAAGTCAATTCAGTAGGGACAAGGAAAGAATGCAGGATAACCCAATAAAATCATGTGAACATGCCATGGAAAACAGGGTTTGCAACCAGTGGGCATAGTCGTCCACCAGGCTTCCCCATTGTGGAAGACGACAGCAAGTTTCAGTCATTTGCTACATCAAGAGCATTTGGCGCCTCGTGCGTTCGTCCAACTAGGCGCGGTGTGGGGAAACGATACACATCAAGGTAGCTCATGAGTAGGCATGAAAATATGAACTAGCCAGTGAACACGGTTCCAAGTTAACAGACACTAGAATGTGGCACCAGAGGTCCGTTGCTAAGCACCAAATGATAATGGAGTGTTGCTCGCCCGAAAACACTGCACACCACGACGCGTTTCGATCTCATTTGGCCTCATCAGGTGGACATATCAGGCCTCGAACCCGCGACCAATAGAATAGTGGCCAAATCTCTACCAGTTTGGCTACCGCGCAACGCTTTGCACAACGGCTAATGACTAATTGGAGGACCATTTTGATGTATACGTTGTGTGGATGGATTGCGACGCGCAATCTCAAAGTAGACCGCGATTCCCATTGTAGTGAACCTTGGTTTTGCGATCACGAGGACTGTATTTGATGAAACAGATAGAAATTGGGTGTTGCCCGACCGAAAAGATTGCACTCCAGAACGCGTTTCGATGTTATTTTATCTCACCAAATGGAGATAACAGGCATCGAACCAGGGATCATTGGGATGTTAGTCGTGATCGCTACCCCTAAGCCAGCGGGTCACGATGGGCAGTGCTTGGCACAACGGTTAATGACTGATTGGAGGCCATTTTAAAGTACACATGTAGATGGATTGTGGTGCGCAATCTGAAGGTGGACCGTGATTCACATTGCAATGAACCTTGGACACTGAGACCATTGGGGCCGTAGCCGAAACAGATGGAAATTGGGTGTTGCCTGGCAGAAAACGCCCAATTTCTATGTGCTTCGGCTACGGTCCCACTGATCGCATTGACTTAAGTTCACTCCAATGGGAATGGCGGTCCACATTGAGATTGTGCGTTACAACCCATTCACACAACCAGTACTTCAAAATGACCCATCCAATGATGGGTATAAGCTTCCACCAAGGAGAAACAAGGCTTCGCAAGCGTGGATAGCTGTAAGAGTCCAGCTTCTTGATCCATACGGTAACGCCGTTCCTACCACCGGGCTGTCTGCCTAATTCGGGAGTTTAAAGTTTGCCGCCACCAAGTGATTGGAAAAACCAGGCGACCATTGTCGACATGCGTAGTGATCGTTTCAGTACTTTAAGTATCCGAGATGATGTTTGGTGGTGTCGTGAATTGGTGGCATTCGAGCACGCCATGCGTGAAGCACACACTGAAGCATGAGGTGCAATTCAGTAGCGCATGCACAACAGCCGGACCACTTCGTCCGCATATTCTAAGGTTGTCAGTCGATCGACATGGTGGTGATAGTGGTGGTGAATAAACGAGCCGAAGGAGAAGACACTTCCGGTGTACCGGTGGGTTGATCTTGATTGTGAGGAGAGGTTGCGGAGTGTTTAGTGAACAAGTGAGAAACGATGGCTGTGGAGCAATACATATTGATCTAACTCTGTTTCTACTTCGGAGGTCACACAAAGCATTGCAAGTGTGAGCTAATGCCACCTCGTAGCCAACTGATGGTTGCGAAAGCCACAAGACACGAGTAACCAGAATAGAGCAGATGTGTGGAGTGGCAGTAGTCAGACCGGAAGCTATATTCGCTGAAAAACCAGTCTGGTGTAAATCGCTGAGTTAAGCTCACCAGTTGTTGAGCAGTTACTGACGGCTGATGCATTGAAATGTTAAGGTTTAAGTGATGTTTTGAAAATGCAAACCAAACATGCAGAAGACAAGGTATGAAACACAGAGATTAAACAAAGGAAATGCGGGGATGAAAGGACCAACAACACAACCGTTAAGAACCGTAGGCTAGTACTTGTACTAATGCTCCACTACCGTATAACTACAAACTGCGAAGTATGATTCGATTAATATGGGGCGAAAACAGAGATCAAGAGGGGGTTAGAAGTAGAAGCTCGTGACTAAAGCGAACATAAAGAATCCGGGTACCGCAACGAACAGCTACATACGGTTCGCACTACATGGGGACAAGGTGTCATCGATGTGGCGGCCATCGCACAAATTTAATTGCCACACATCATGATCTACTCTCTACAGCACAGGTAGGTCAACACCAGTCGCAGAGGGAACAAGTAGACGGGTTTACAGAGGACAACAAACACCCCATTGGTGTCGGTGGTGACTTAGATCTTGTAATGCCTCAAGTAGCGTAGATAGTATACCGCGTGGTATGGACCAAAGCGCCACAAACAAGCACAGAAATCCGAAATCCAAAAATCCATGTTACTGAGGAAAAAAGTGAAAGCCCAGTTCGTAGGGGCGTCTTCGTAGACTTCCTTAACCGTAGTCGGCAAATTTTTCGGTAGATAAGAGAGATGGGTGTTGGCTGCCCCATCCAGAGAAAGGATCAGAGCATAAATAGAATAGACGTACATGTCCCAAAATGAGCGGCGGTCAAAGACGGAACTGTGCCATCTGAATTCTATGGCGATGTGGTCCACTCCGATCCATCACTGGCCAATTGCCAGAGGATACTAGCGCCTGAAGACAATGCTACCAATCAAGAGTCAATGATCGACGCATGGGTTCAATAAAAACTAACCATGCCTATGTGCATGTACACTGGGCCAGAACATCACACCCAACCGAGATTCTGATCCAAGGCAACCAAACTGTGTTTTCGTCTTCCTTATCATCAAGACTATACCTGCATCGGTGACCCTGCACAACAGTGCTAAGCCGGGGAGAGGCGTTTTACGCAACAGTACGACAGCCTCGATTAGAACACAGGTAATCAGTAACAAAGTATATACAAAAATGTTACAACAACAGCCATAGAGACATGCAAAAGCTATGTAAACAAAAGGAAGGTGACAAGCACAATTGGCACAAAAGGAAACAGAATATCCTTGATAGATTTTTGTACACCGCTACATATAGGTCATTTTTAAAAGTTGTGACATTAACGATAAAATACGGATAACAATTACTATTACCATATGAACAGTTGGTGCAGTGTAGCGATTGAGCGGTCTATGATTATCTCAGAGAAAGTGAGACTACTCAGCTGTCTAAGCCGAAGTAGCGAATTGTTTTAGAGAGCATTACACAGAGCTTCCGGGGCGAAGTCAGGGTATCGTGTCCATTGGTAGTTGGTGGCTGAGGTCACAGTTCGTCCGACTTCTATTTGGTGAGTTAACGAGAATAATCCCAATCCTCCCCAGCACACATTTACTAGATTATAATTCTCCCCAAAGATGAAGAAAGGGACAGCGAGTTTGGTGGAAATTGGGCGTCGTTCGCCCGAAAACATTATACTCCATCACGTGTTTCGATCTGATAGATATGGCAGGCATCGAACCGGGGGCCCATTGGAATGTCAGATTTTGGGCGGACAACATCCAATTTCTATTCGATCCAGCTACGCTCCTAGTGTTCATATGACCACGGTTCATTTCAATGGAAAACGCGGTCCACTTAGAGATTGTGTGTCGCAATCCATCCACACAATGTGTACTTCAAATTGCACCTCCGATCGGACAGTGAGTTTATTTAGTATCGAGTCACATCCGCGGCCTAGTGGTGATGTTTAACAGGCATTTGTGACTTTTCATAAGGAGAACGCATGCCACGTAACAACCTTCCACATCGCGGAAAACAGCCGCCGAACTATTCAGTGGAACGGGATACTCTCGAACAATTTAACTGGCAGCAGGAGGAAATAGTTCCGTAAGCAAGATACAAGAGAGATCTGGTTCAGTACTTTGGTCTAATCTTAGCCCAGGTTGTCAGGTGGGCTGCGCGCGGCGGCCGTTGCTCGAAAAGATTGAAACAACCAACGAGGATTCAGCACCGGAGTCGAGAACTATGACCCCTACAGCATGGTCTGTGGTTGTCGCATCTCCATCCCCAGGCTTGTGCAACGGTTAAGCAGAAGACAAATCGGGTGCAGTTAACTCGAGTATAGTATGAGAGTCAGGAATGCCAGTTTTATTGATACAGCGCATGCAAACTTTTATTGGGTTCGTGTACATGCAATTGCGGTCTGCTGATGATGCAGCCGGAAATACAGTAGTGTGATCTGTGGACAGGGTTTGGATGGTAGAAGACTAGTGGGTACTGCAATGACACAAGCGCATGTGGCTAAATCTCATGAGAACTGCAGCTGCCATCAGTTACTTATGGGACCACGGGAGAGAGATTAGTAACGCAGATCCGAAAGAGTGTAACCGAAGCAGAAAGAGAGACAGAAACAATAGTCCGTTCTCACATATCCATCCAGCTGTATGCAGTAGACAGTGACCCTTCGTGACCGTTTGATGGAGGACATAGGAGGAATTTGAAAATTGATGTAGGTGCTTTAGTTATATGTAGGTCAGGTAACTGTCAAGGTATCCGAACCTAGGGATGATATTAAGGCCTTCACAACCCTGATCTCTGGACGGCTGGAAGCTTGCAGCTGTTCACTAGAATGACCACTTTTTTAACCTAAAGGACCAGAAGACGGGGTTCGGTTGATCTCTAACCATCGGGCAATATGGTAGTAGTTCTCGTGACACAAAGGCGCTTCACCGAATGGATCTGAGAAGCACGCAAACCGCCGAATTACGTTGCACTTTGCACCAGGGAGGTATGAATACAAAACACATCCAAGTAGGTGATTTGGCTGTGACGAATTATAACATGGAACCCAGCAGCAGAGTGTTTCCTCTCACCTGATGACGAACTCGGAGCCAACATCTTATAGAAGACAGCGTCCTATAGAAGACAAGCTACTACCTTGGGGCAACAGCCTGCCAAACTTTGACTGCAAAGTAGGTAATAGTAGTAGAAACCGCATGAGCAGAATTTGAAACGGGATTTTACCCGACTGCAAAATGTATATCAGGAAATGCAAAACTGGCGTGTGGTTAACAAAGACAAATGCCAGTGGAGTGTACAAAAAGGAGGAGAGCAAGCGAGAACGATACGTTACATCGAAAACCACCTCCTCTAGATAGGCGATTGTTCGTCCATCATAAGCGTGTTGTCTGTGGGTTGAAGAGGCAGCTGGGTTCGATGGTTTCACCTCTTCCCATTCGGTTAGGTCGAATGACGTGTGAGTTTGTCCGGAAAGACGGTGCGCGAGGAGATCTTCCGGTGATGTCAAGTCCTCGCTGCTCACTGGTTCGAGGGATAATCCCAGTGGCTCCGGATCCGATGCCGACTCAGAGAATGAGGCAGATGAATTATCCAAAGTGTCATCTTCCATAGCGATCGGCACAGAGGACTCGCGACGGCGGGGCTGAGGCGGGCGAGAAACTAGTGTCTATAGAGAGTACAAAAATGAGATTTAGCAGTGTGGAATTAAGCCAGCTAAATATCAATCGAAAGAGCAGAAGTAAGTCTAGATAGTTTGTTAAGTTTAATAATTTGGTAAAAAATTTTTTTAAAGCAATCAAAGGCAAATTCAATAGGCCAACATGTATTTGAAGAAGCATTGCATTGCCGTCAGTAGCATGTCACTTTTGATTACCATAAAGTTCGGAAACGGAAATAAAGCAGGGATTCAGAAGCAGTCAAAAGAAGTGCGAAGTGGAGACCCCATGGTTCAACAAAAACTGAGCGCTGAACAACTTTTATACCGCCATACTGATGCGAGACATCTACGCAAGGCATTATCGACAACGACGTTACCATATAGCAACTAGGTCTGTTTTTTCTCCAGACACTGTTGCTACCTCATCGACTGTGTGAACCCCCTTTGTGATACGGTTTCCGAGTCGTAATCACGTCACCCTGACAACCATCTTCCGTTCCGAGTAAAAAACTATACCCAGTGGCGACAATTATAACAGAGTACAGGTAGGAAAGCGTCGTAAAAAGCAACAGTAGTAACGAAGGAATATGTGTTTTCAACACCTGTGTTTAAATGGGAAGAATTTTGAGAGTTTCACGTTGAATCATAGTTGCGTGGCAGCGAAGGTTAGCAAAAATACTGACAGAACTATCGTTTTTGATACGTAAAAAAGTATAGGCCTTAGCACGTCCCGTAGGTTGGTAACGGAAAATATTTCAAATTCGAAGAACACACAAGTGGATAAGATAAAATGTACATCAGTAAAGCGACAGAGCAACGGTATACTAGAAGCAGGATTGTGTGAATGAGATAGTATCATGCAAAACGGCATAACAAGTTAGTATGTTTAATACTTACGGTAAAGAACAACCGGATTGGTCACCAACTTGTATAGATTTACGGGCGTCAGTGTGCATGATAAATTCAAAAAATGAGTTAGTCAGATTACACAACAGAGCATCATCATCATTCATCATTATACACGTTAGCTAGAGGTGGGAAACACCTCAGCTACTGTGCCACAATACATAGACGAAAAAATGAGAGAGAAAATGCAACTGCTGCAAGCCATCTGAGCTACCGGTAACGGATGGGCCTCGTTTCGATAAGCTACCAGCCGGCTACTGTGCATAAAAAATTACTATGCAAAATTATATAAGGCTAAATAGTGAGAACGTGGTTGGAGGGGGAGGCTAAGAGGGATGAGGTAGGACAAAGAAACTCACAGCACGAACGCCACAGGTCGGCTCCTAGCCATATCAGTAAGTGTATCCACAATAGAGCATACGTTCAGATAACTAATTGTGGGTAAATCAGTGTGATATCCAAGCGTTTTCTGAAAATGGCTAAGGTGAGGACATAGACAGCTGAATTTGGAGGGGAATTCCATGGTTAGCAGACCCGGAGGGAGAGGTAACTTCGTCGGACAGTCTAGGCGACTTGGTTTCAAGCTATTGCCTTTGAAGTTGGTGATCGGGCTGAGTTTCAAAAGTTAGTGGCATACGTGACCGGGTCTCTCATCATTTTGTAAACTACTATGAGGTTACTACGTAGCCGCCGGTAGCGTCCACAGAGCACTCTAGGTTTCTTCAGCCGTTCCTGGTACGGAAGTTGGTGCAAACCCTGGGTTTTTTCGTTGCTCGACCTTGTTGGGTTTCGAGCGATGCGATGTCACGTTTTAGCCAATGCTTCCAAGCTTGGATGTCGTAATCCATGTGGGGATGAACGCATTGATCACCAATGACAAGCTAAATGAATTCGAAGTCCCGAATTCCCATCGCAAAAGACAGAGATACCAGTTACCCCTTTTGAAGCGGACTCAGACTATCTGGAACAGCCGACAACGTTCTGCACAAACACACCGAGGTCACATTCCTGAGAGGTGGTTTGAAGATCGTACGCCCTAAGCTTGTAGAGGTGTGTCGACGGTGGATATGAACGACTTGGCAGTTGTTCGTCCCAGACCAATTCCAGGCCTCATGGAGGTCGCGCTGGAGGAGCACGTAGTCGTCCAATACATTGATAGCCCACTAAATCTTAATTTCGTCCGCGAAGAATACACATTTTCTGATAATCACTCTCGACAGAACATTAATGTAGACTAAGAACAGGCGAGACCCAAGTACCAAACCGACTCGAATTGGATCGGAGAAAGATGTTCGGACTCTAATCTCCAATTGCCGTTCACGGAGAAACTCGCCGATTCATCCCAATACTGCATCCTCGATGCCATAGTGCCAAAGCTTATGAAGTAGGATACGATGATCCAATCTATTGAACACTTTTGGGAAGTCCAAGCAGATGATGCACTGTTGTTGTCAGTGATAATGAGTGTCTGATTAGTAGTGAAGTGGTCGCGATCAAACAGGGCTCCGGGTACCATTACTGTGACTATTATTGCCATTATCACTGTCCTCACCATCATAAACCAAGACAACAGGAGCCCACCAACAGGGTTTGTGTGTGTGGTAATCCTGCTGTTAGTAAAGAATAAGTAAGGGATTGAATGGGCAGTCTACGGTAGGATATAAATGTTTTTTAAGCGAACATTCTGCCAATAGGTCCACACCTCACCAGAACCACAAGGCTCGCCAGCGGTCATTAAAGGCGATTGCACCCAAAGTATGGATGCAAACGGCCATAGAGAAAGAGACCTAGCTTGACTAAAACTTACAATATGTTTGGTGAAGAAGATCAAACCGCTGTCAAATGAAGCTCAAGAAAAAGTGACGAAGCTGGAATCCAGCGTAATTAAGTGATCAAGGAGTCAATATGGATCACATCGATATATGCGTTGTGTATATGAAAAGGCATCTGCGACAAATGTCCGCGAGATAACTTACGCATCAGTAACCCCACCTACCAAATGGGTCAGTTACACGAAAGAAAACAAAAGAGAGCATATTGCCCATATGTATCCATAAGCATAGATATGGTCGACTAGCAGGGACGCCAGCTGACAAAAGGATGCATTCATTGATGTCAAGGTAAAGCCGTCGGTGAAGGGGTGTGTAGAAAGAACTTTGACCACCCCAGTCTCTCCCATGTTGAATGCCCAGTTCTACATTGCTCGGCCGTCTGGATCGATTATGTTTGCTAACTCCCTTACTTTCCATTCCTTTGTTCGCTGCCCCGATGCTCTTAGCGAGTGACTCCGGTGACTCATCTTAACTTCACCCCGCCCCCATGGACCTGCCATTGTTCTCTTGACATAAGCGATTTTGTGTTCCCACAACTCATGTATCCAGTGTGGCAGGACTGTCTGTCCTCAGCCCGTTCCCGTTGGCGGACGCTTACGATTGGCTCAATTGCCTTATCATAACTTCGGTCTCACCTCTATGTCTATTTGTTTCGTGTGCACCTTGGCTTACGGACCTTTTGTGGAACTGATTGAAATCTGTTGGTAAACTTTTGTGTTTGGAAAACCGTTAAGGTAATTTCTACTTTGGTACGATGAATTTGTACAAATAGCACCATTTTCTCAGGTCCGGATCTGGTCTTTTGTTGAATTTTCCGGTGGGGAACGCGTAGCTTAACTTTCCAAACGTCTTGGAGCGTTACAGGGTGCCAATAGCCAAAGATGAGCAGATGTCGCTGGGTCGTTAAACAAACTGTACACACGTGGCCGGCGATGGGATTGAAAAGGATGCGGTGTGGAGAGAGACGTACTCCGGTAAATGTAGGGGATCAGAAAATCAATGGCAGGCCAGTAGTCCAAAGGGACTTCTTAGTAACGTGTATCCAGTCGAGCAGCAAAACTACCATTGCGAAAGTGGTAGGCTGAAATGCACACACCTAAAGGTGATCTGGTGCCAAAACACACTCTTCTGTCGAACAGCATGATTTTGCTAACGAGTCAATCTGCTGAAGTCTCAACTCGAGCATTGACAGTAGGAAGAATTCACTCCAACAGAATACACGGCAAAGGGATACTTGGCACGATGAGTTAATGCCTATGATATACTAGGCAACAGGATGCACGGTATAGTTGACCATCTAAAGTTCACATACCCCAGGGCGACAGGTCCACCTACCTTGAATCATGCAGCCATAATCATCACAAAATAACAGGAAAGTGAAAAGACGTGTCTATTAAGCAAAAATTACAGTAACATTGAAGCACATCGGATGAAGTAGCTAAGATTAAAGAAAGAGGGGCAGAAGGTTTAGCAGTGAAGTTAGGTGTGAATATGACTCGGCAAGTGCCGACGAACGTGAACGAACAGCAGTAACCAATTAGTAGTCGTTCAAATCGAAGTCACCGTAACCAGATGCAGCCAAATAGTTGTGGAGTACAAAAAGACGTCCTGAAATGATGTGTCAGTGGTTAGGTGCAATAAAGACCAATCAAACTTGGGATCAACAGTGGTGGCAGCCTGGTCATTTGTTCTTGCGACTAACACTTCGTGAACACATACTACGCTATGCCAAAGCCGGATGGGAGGCCAGTGGATAGTGCCAGGCGTCGTCGATTTGGTACACCTGCCTAGATTCCAATGATGTACAAGTGTACATCCGTGTGGCAAATGCCCCATGAACCTCAGAAAAACATTATGTTTCAAGGTTACATACCAATCGACTGAACGCGCAATTGGCAGATCAAAATAGTAAACAAAAATGCCTTTTTTTACCGATACCTATCCCGACAAAGTTCATTTTACTGCTTAGTATCACAACTATTGTTGAGGCATATTGGCTTGGTGACGCAATTCAAGGCGATTAGTCACGGTGCGTTTCCTCGATGAGGTCACAGCTGGTAAATCAATGCGTTGATGCATAATAGAGATGGCCATTGGATTCACAGAGCGAGATATCCGTTCAAACAGAAAAAGAGAACGTCAGCCATCAAGAGCCTCGAATAGTCGGCACCATTCGAAATGAGCATGACTAACCTGTGGGTCAATGATGAAAACTTGTTGCCTTGTTGGAATCCAGGAGTGGTCCTAAGGACGAGGCAAGCATCAGTTCAC